CAGCGTACTTCGGTCGATTTGCCTGTTCTGTTCCCCATTCTGTCTCTGGTGGCTCCTCTCACCCCCCACACCTGGCCTATACCCCAGTTCTTGTATTCATAAATAAATAAATAAATAAATCTTTAAAAAAAAAGATGTGGTATACGTACACAAAAAGGAATACCACTTAGCTATAAAGAAGATGTAATTCTTTCATTTGCAATGACAACGATGGACCTAGAGGGTATTATGCTTAGTAAAATAAAACAGATGTAGAAAGACAAACACTGTATAATTTCACTCATATGTGGCACGTAAGGAAAAGAACAAAGAAATGAGCTAAATGAAACAAAAATAAATCTTTAGACTGTAAGACCAAATTAGTGGTTATCAGAATGAAAGGGGGAAGAGGTGTGGGTCAACTGGGTAAAAGGGGTAAATTTTATGGTAAAGGATAGAATTAGACATGTAGTGATAAGTTGTATGTAGTACAAACATTAATTTCTAATTAATGAAACTTATGTAATGCAATCTTACTTCAATAAAAAATGAAAAACAACAACAAAAAACAATGTATGTCCTGAATATAATTCTGAAGAAATGAATGGAGAGCTTCTTCAAGGCAGGGACAGGGTTTTGGGAAGTGTTCAGTGTATGATGTGTAATTAAAAGACACAGATGCCCCCACTGCAGAATAGTTCACATGTCGAGTCCAATTCTGACCTGCCGCCATTATATTCAGAATTATCTGAACAGACACTACATGAGTATTGACTCTCCTCGTTTCATCCTGGAAATATCCCTGAGAGGTGGGCACAATGGGAAAATCATTTCTATTTAAAAAAAAAAAAAACGAGAAAATCAAGGCTTATGGGAGGTGTGCCGTGGCCAACATCCTCAAGTGCCAATGCCAAGCCTGGAATCCAAATTATCTCCCCCACCATCCCTCATCCAGTTCATTGTTTACTCTGGCCTGTCCTTGAACCAAGAGAACTTCCTGTCCCTTTTTCATCACAGAGTGGGTAGAGAGCAGAGATGTGAGTCACAGGAGGAGCCAAGATGGGGAAGCCAGTCTCCTTCGCCTTAAAACTGCTGTCATTTGTTCTTAATAACAATGCCCACCATCCTACTAGTTATAACCATGGACACTGGAGAAAGAAAGGCCTCAGTTTAAATCCTAGTTACAGGTTATGTGATGTTGAGGGATTAGTTAACTTTTTTTGGCTTTTTTTTAAGATTTATTTTTTATTCATGCATACAAGAATGGGGGTACAGGCCAGATGCGTGGGAGGGTGAGAGGATTCACCAGTGACAGAGCAGGGAACAGAACAGGCAGACTGACGAAATACACTGCTGAGGGGAGCAGCAGGCGAGACAGGAGCGGTTTGCCGCGCCATGTGGGTCTCTCTCTGGCCTGCTGGGAATCGAACTGGCGCTGCAGAGGCTGTGGACAGCTTCACAGCTCTGTGCTCAACCACCTGTGCCACTAGGGGAGGCCCCTCTTCGTGTTTTTTTTAATCCATAAAAGGATATGAAAATAAGCTACTTAGAAGAGTCACCTTGACCATAGAAAGATTTTGCTGATTATTATAAAATGGTTCAGGAACTTTCCTAAACACTTTTCCTGTACCACTTCTTTTAACACAACATCATGCCTTAGGCGGAAACAGGGGCTTAGAGCTGTCAAATAGCCCCCAGGGAAGTTGCCCCTGGAACTGGGAACCTCACTACCAAAAGGCTTGGCAAACAACCGAGGATCAGAGAATGGCAGCAGCTTGCTCAAGGACTTGACCAGTTACTGACTCCACACAACCAGATCTTTTCATTCAAAATGGACAGTTGGGTCATAACTTAGCAAGGTCTGACAAGATGTAAGTTTCATAAAACAGGATTTGGAGAGGGAAAAGCGACTCCTGAGGAGCCACAAGACCTGCCTGTGCCTCCCATTGAGGATATTGGGCCTCATTTTCCTCATCCACGAGGCGGAGGAAGTGGAGTTATTGGGAGTTTAGCGTCCTTTCCAACACTGGTTTTCCAGGGCGCCAGACCCAAGCTAAGGTAAAGGCCCAAGTCCCGCGGTTCAGGTTAGTCCTCCAGCGGGCCGGCAATAGGGACGCGTCCCCTTTAAGGCGCCAGCTCGCTGGCGGCGGCGGCCGGAAGTGTTGAAGCCCGGCCAGGCGGCGGCGGTGGCGGTAGCTGCCGTGGCGGCCTCTGCGCATGCTCCGTCGCCCGCCCGCCCTGGCCGCTCGCCGCCCGCCCGCCCGACGGAGACGGTGAGGAGGGGGAGGGGTGGGCGCGCGGCGCGGGCGCGGGGTGGGGGGGCGGGCGCGGGGGCCGCGAGGCGGCCGGCGAGGGCGGGCGGGCGCGCAGGGGGCGGGGGGCTGCTGCCTCCGCGGGCGCCTCCCCACGCCCTGTGCGTGCCGCCGCCGCCGCCGGGGAGCGAGCGGACGTCGCGGCGCCGCGGGGGGGTGGGGGGACGCTGCCGCTGGGTCCGCCCGAGCAGCCGGGCCGCCCCCAGCGCGGCCGGCCGCGCTGCCCGGGCTGGGTCCGCGGCTGAGGGCGGCGGGGGCCTGCGGGCCCGGTACTGAGGGCCCCCGTCGCCCCCGGACCGTGGGGCCCGGAAGTCCTCGGCTGAGGGCCCTGGAGGGGCTGGAGCGACTCTGGACTGAGAGGCCCGGACTCCCTGGACCCCGAGGAGGGATGTTGGGATCCTGGGGTATCCCCAAAGGCGGGGTCGGGGGAGCACCAGGCCCTTCTCTGAGGAGCTGGGGAGAGGCCTGGGTCCCTCTCAGGGCAGAGGGGGGTGAAAGGTGAGGGAAGCCTGGATGCCCGCCCAGGAGGAGACCCTCAGAGACTTGACTGGGGAGGGCTGGGGTAGGGGGAGCAAAAGCAGAGGGGGACCCTGCCGAGAAAAGGAGGGTCCTAGCTACACCTGAGAGGCGCATTAGAGGCCTCGGCCATTGAGTCGGGGGGGAGAAGAAGCAGGTGCTTTTCCCGAGGCGTGGTGACAGGTCTGGGCAGTGAGATCAGGGAACAAGGAAGAAAGCGCAGGGAGAGCTGAAGAGGCCCCAGCCTTCTCATAGATGGCTGGGGGGAGGTGCCTCCTTGGGTAGGAGTGAGAAGGGTCTAAATCTGTCAGGGAATGAAAGATACTTGCGTGCTCCCTGATATATAGGCCGAAAACAGGGTAATCTAGTATGTCAGGGAATGGGGAAACCCATGTTTTTGAGGGCTTTGGAGAAGATAATTGAAGGGGAGAAGCTTTAAGTACCCCTCCTTTTTTGAAATCACAGGGGAATTGGCCAGGTACCTCATAATTGAGGAGCAGGAGAGATGTGGGCAGAATCTTAACCGAGGGACCTGGAGAGAGATCCCCCCAAACTAAGATGTTGCCAAACTGTCCCGGGAAGCCCTGAATTTTCTCAAAATGTGAGATACCTCAACATCATTACCTAGCTGACAGGCCTTGATTGGTGTCCTTTTAGGCGATCCAAGAAACGGGGTTTCCTCCTTAGAGAAAGAATTTGGGAAAGGAATGATCAGGTACTTCTAGTCTCACAGCGGGACTCTTTCCTCCCCCCTTGCCTCTGCTAATGGTTACCAAAGTGCTTTTGGAGGAGACTTCCTCCTTAAAAATTCGAACTGTCTCCCCAAAGATGTCACCCTTTTATCAGTTTTAAAGTCTACTGACTTGATGACCTCTTCATTAGTTGTTAGCCACTTAATCATTTATTTCCACAAACACATTGAATTGCTAACTTGTGTTCAAGTTAGTTTGGGGTCTGTCTGGGTCTTATCCTGAGATGAAATTCCCTAAACTCTATCTAGTAGGATGATCCTTCAAATAATTTCTTTTTCCCTTTGTTGCCCCAAACACCTACATAGTCTCCAGTTCCCAACTTCATTCCCTGTCTGTTTCCCTCACTGTGGTCCTTTGTAGCCTTGTTAACTTCATTACATCTGGTAATACTCCAGATCACTTACTAAATGCATGAGAAGGAGTAAAGAAGAAAAAGGAGTTTTGCTTCAATAATAAAATTTTAACTTGGAAATTGCTTAATAGGGTGCACAGTGTACAAAAATTACAATGGAATAAAATACATTTGGAGTTAGAAAATTTCAGCACATCTAGTATTTCCTTCTCACCTACAAACTCTGATATGTTTGCAATCATGTGATGCTAATGTTTACATCTTGTAATGTTTTAAACAGCTTCCTGGACCAAATCTCGAGTAGGTCAGATGTCATTTGTTAGTTTTCCAGTAGTTTATGTGAGCAGTCATATGCTTACTTTCAAGGTGTCTGTCTTTGAAAAGAACTACAAAGTTATTTTAATATATATTATCCTCTATGTGTCTTCCTCTAGAATTACAGAGTGTTGTGTGATTCCACAAGGAATACTCTAAGGCCCCTTCCATGAAATACCCAAAGGATCAACTCACTCATCTTGCCTCAGGGGTTTTTGTTGCTATAAACAAGAGTCACTTTTCAGTTTACAGTCAGCTCAAAGAGATGATCTTGCATTTAACCAGTATAGTCTGTAGAGCTGGTTTCTGGTTACCAGCTAGGAAAATGGTATTTAGGGTAATAAGAGATACTCGACCCAAACTTGCTTTTCTAAAGAAAGTAAAAATTACTATGTTGAATCAGACCTGTGTATCTGACACTGAGGAATATATTGTGTATGATTATAATTGTCTTCTCTGATAAACTCTTAGAAGGTTAAAGAACAAACCAGAACATTCTGCCTGAGTTCCAAGGAGTAGGAGTAGGGTAAAGAGTAAAATATGAGTTCCCTTTGAAAGTTTTAAATTGATAGTCAACCACTTACTCAAAGTGTAGAGAGTACTCAACCTGTGAGTAGAAGGTCGAAATAAAAGTATTCTCCTATTTCTGGTTCTCTAACCACTAATTTAGGCTATTTTAAAAAAATTAAATCGTCTTTTGGGAATAATTTCTATAAGTTTGTTAAGTGCTAAAGTATTACTTTTAAAAATTAAATATGTATTATTGTAGTAAGAGAATAGTGCTTGACAGTAAATAAGTGTCCAACAAATGTTGGCTGCAATTATTTTAATTTGCCCTACATTTTTATGGTTCAAGCTTTGAAGCTATCCATTGATTCATTTATTCTAGGATTTATTGGTGATTATATGCTTCGTCATGTCCCTTTTTGACTTTTTCTACCTCAGGAGTCCTGCTTGTTTTGGTTTTCAGAGGTCCTAATTTGTTCTGTTTTTTTTTTTTCTTTCTAGTTTTAAACCTTTAATTTACAGAAGTCCGTATTATGTACTATGATTGCTTGCAATTACTTTTCCCTTCTAGTGAGTGCCAATGCTAGGCATCTCTTTCCCTTTAGTAGTTCCTTACAAGCAGACACTGTCCCTATTTATTTCCAAGGAACCTAACTTTGTGTCCAACTTTGTGTGGAGTAGAGACTAGTAAATATTTGTTGAACTGATTATAATTATGGACCATAAAGCAAGGCAGCTGAGCATAGCTGCCCAATCAAATTTATATCCCCTAAATTAGAAAAGTATAAACTTCTAGAAGTCTTTTAGGGCAGGGTGAGTCACTCATTGCATAAAAGTTGGTTACATACCTGCTATATACCAGCTTTCCTGAGAAAATTTTAGGTAGCAGTTTTGTAGATAGAAGTCTGATATCTGAAAACTCTATTACACTCCCACGTCCCGGATGCTAATCTGACACGGGAAAGCTGTTGAAAGAGAAAAGCAATCCTTGTTCTCCCAGGATGTAGCCTGGTGGGAATAGATTGAAAGTGGGATGATGGTCTGACCGGGGTGCTGCAGGTATGAAGGAGCAAGAACACAAAGCTCAAAACCCATCAAGGAAGTCACAAAAGGAAGTGATGTTTTTATTAAGTCACACAACTTTACCACTGACTAGTCAAAGAAGAAGGAAAAGAATTCCAGGTAGAAGAAACCATTCTGAAAGGCCAGGTGAGGAAAATGGCATGTTTGAGAAATGGGAATAAATCAGTGACAGGAGCCCACAGTGTGAAATGAGATTAATAGGGTGGGTGAGGTACAGATTTGGAAAATTTTGTAAGCCCTGGAAAGGGTTTACATGTTGTAAAGAGAACATGTTGTAAAGAGAATCTACTGAGGATTTTTAAGTGGGGAAATGGCCTTTAATAAGACACTTTGCTCTGTAGAGAAGGGATTGGAGAGCAGGACCAGAGATTAGGCTACTGATGAGAAACAGCTGGGAAAATCTAGGTGGTGGCATGTGTGGCTCAGAATATGGTGGTGGTAGTACAGATGGAGACTGGGGTGGGGGATGTTTTCAAGAGATATATAACTGGTCAGATGGATAGGATTTGGTGTTGATTGGATTTAGAAAGAGAAGAGAGCAGTCAAAAATATCTTCCAAGTGTCTGAGTTGAGAAAATAGGAAGGTACCATTTACCTAAGTAGGAAGTAGGAATAGGTTTGAAAGGGATCATAAGCTCAGTCTAAGGTGCCCACAACATATTTTAAGAGATTTTTGGATATAGAAAGTGTAAAGTTCAGGAAAGAAGTTTGAATTTGAGAATCAAAAAACATAAGTTAGACATGAATTTTAACTAGGTCAAATATAAGCAAACCAGTTGAACCAATACTTGTCAGTGCCCATGGTGAGCAGGACTGTGGGAGATAAAAAGTTTTTTAGGTAATTAGCACCTAACGTGATGGAGATAGGTATCTATTTAGTTAACTGCAGAACAGTGCAATAAACACTGGAGCGCTGCAAACCAAGTACTGGGCAACCACAGAAAAGAAAATGATTTGTGAGTGGCTCCCTGGAGGAGTGGGCTTTGAACTGGGCCTTAACATGAGAAGATGGGCCTTCCTGGTGGCTTGGGAGTTAAGTCTCAGCGCTATCACCGCTATGGCCTGAGTTCTATCCCAGCCAGGGAGCTAACTCACGTGACAAAGCAGGGTGCTCCTGTCTCGCAGCTGCTCCCCTTGGCAGTGTATTTCAGTAAATCTGCCTGATCTGCTCCCCGCTCTGCCTCTTATGAATCCTCTCACCCTCCCTACCCCCACCCACCACCTTTGGCTTACACCCTGGTTCTTCTATGCAAGAAAAAAAAGAAACGAGAAGATGAAAGAGAAGGGCATTTGGGGCTTAGGGTATAACAAAGGTACAGTACCTGAAAGTACATATATGTTCAGAGTACTGTGGGTTGTTGATGTGGCTGGAGTGTGGCTTATATCGCACAATCTAGTTATGCTTTAAGGTATTATAGTTGCAGATAAGTATTTTGGTGTCAAATGAAGGAGACATTCAGTGCTATGTATGTTATAGGCAAACAACTGCTGTGGCAGAGCTGAGATGTGGATTTGGTGGTCTGACATCAGTTACATTTTCAAACATGCATCCTTGCATGTCTTCTCTGTTCAGCATAGTCTAGTCATAGGTCTAAGTAAATATAGTGTTCTTACCTATACTTTTTTTTTCCAAGATTTATTTTATTTATTTTTGCATAGAAGAACTGGGATGTAGGCCAAAGGTGCAGGGGGTGAGAGGATTCACCAGAGACAGAGTGAGGAGCAGAACAGGCAGATCTACTGAAATACACTGCTAAGGGGAGTAGCAGGTGAGACAGGAGAGGTCTGCTGTGCCATGTGGGTCAGCTCCCTGGCCTGGGATCGAACTTGTGCTGCGATGGCTGCTGATAGCTTCACAGTCCTGAGACTTAACCCCTTGCGCCACCATGGAGGCCCACCTATATACTCTCTTAAGTGGCTCTCCTTTTCAGCTGTGAAGACTAATAGCAGCAGAATATCCTGGGGCCCCCTGGGTTTTCATTAAATTTGGACAATGCTTTAGTGGCTTTAGAGTCTGGGAGCATGTGGTGCTAGATACTGGTTTCCCTAATAGCTCTGCAAGGAGATGTCAGGCGAGATCATCTTTTCCATTCAACCTGCGGGATAGAGTTACTAGGACATTCCTAGAGGTCACATAATTGGATTTATTAAACTGCACAGTGAAAGTGACCTTTCTCTTCCTGCACAGTTTAGTCCTGTTAACCAGGAGATACTTATTAAGTACTCAGAAAGGACAGAGCAGTGGGTGCGGTATAATGACTGGTCACAAAGCAAATAGACTTGACTCCTACTTTCTAGGCGCTTACTATTTGGAATGGAGTGAGTGATGTGCTATAAACCAGCTCTTCTAGAAAAAAAAAAATACCCCGACTTGTGGTGCTTGTCAATACTCTCGCCGTCACTCATTTCAAGCTATGAATTTGATGTCACTAAACTTGGAGTTGGGAAGAGATGTGCACAGTGGGTTCTTGGGAGCTGGTAGAGCTGGCTCCAGCACACCATGGGATGAATCATACATACTGAGAAAGCCTACAATAGCAAGTGAGTACTAAGGCATTTCTGGAAAGATCAGAGCCTCTCTCAATGCCTTTTCGCTTCCCATCCTTTTCAGAGGGCAGTGATCCTCCAGGGTGCCTTGGGAATGGGTGGTCATTATCTAGTTCTTCCTTTCTTATGGTTGCCATCCTTTCAAACAAGTGAAGTTACTGGTGTTTTTTATTTCTGACAGCAGCCCCAGCTATCTGACTTCATGTGAAAGATGGCTAATGCGGAAGTGAGTGTCCCAGTGGGGGATGTGGTTGTGGTACCCACTGAAGGAAATGAAGGGGAGAACCCTGAAGACACTAAAACCCAAGTGATCTTGCAGTTACAGCCTGTGCAACAAGGGTAAGTGACTAGAGATTTGGATATTCTACAAAATTTGGGAGGTTTAAAGGGTGGAGAAATTACAACGTTATGGTTGCTCAGCACTATGAAGCATTCGACATCAATCTCAGCTGGTAGTTTTTATCTCTGTAATGTATTGTGTGCTATATTCATAATTTTATTATTATATTAGCCGTTTCCCTCTTCTCCCTATTCTCTGCTGTAAGCTCCTTGGGGGTAAGTTACATAGTTCCCACATCTTATTTGCCTGCACTGTCTAGCACAGGGCTTGGTACATGTTTAGCAAATGACATTGTAGTTAGAGTCAGAGGAGATTAGGCAAGGTAACTATAAATAGTGCTACCAGAAACTCCTTGGACCCTCATGGATGGGCAAATTATCAAGTTTAGTCAAAAAAAATATATCAACCACCTACTATTATACAGTGTATTATAAAAGTGTTGAGTGAAATATAACACATGGGTCCCACCACTATGGAACTTGCTGTCTAATTGTGCAAACGCAAAATATATACATGTAAATAAGAAATTGCTTATATCGCACGATCTGGGTGTGCTGTGTGGTATGGGTAGGAAGCACTTTTGAATTCAAATGACCACGATGAGTTTAAAAGGAGAGATATGGCTTAAGAAGTGGTCTTGAAGGTTCAGTAAGATTAGAGCTACAGAGAGAATGGGGAGTAGTTGTTTGTATTGGGGAATCTATAAAAGATTTTTCACAGGCTTAGAAATGCTCTTGGACAAAAATAATTCCATCCTAGTCTAATAATGTAACCTGTCTTAAATACTCTGGAGAAAGACATTTAACATCTCAGTAATTTTTTTAAAAGATTTTTATTTATTTAGGTATACAAGAAACCAGGGTATAGGCCAAAAGTGTGGGGATGAGAGGATTCACCAGAGACAGTGTGGGGAACAGAATAGGTGGATCTACTGAAATACACTGCTGAGGGGAGCAGTGGGCAAGACATGTGGGTAGCTCCCAGGCTGGGTCGAACTCATGCTGCAGAGGCTGTGGATAGCTTCACAGTGCTGTGCTTAACCCCTAGCACCACCAGGGAGGCCCCGCAGTAATTTTAAAGCCTTTTTAGTATGGAAAGTTTCAAATATATGCAACAATAAAGAAAAACTATAATGAACCCCATAAAAGCACCCATCGACCAACTTCAACAATTACCAACGCATGACTCGTCCTGTTTCTTTTCTACATCTTCCCACTCCTGATGTTTTTTGAAGCAAATTTCAGACATTAGTATATATCTGTAAAAGACAAGAAATTTTTAGTTGTTAAAATATTACCCATAGTTTGCTGATATTCTGAATATTAAGTATGAAGGAAATAGTCTAAGACCTATAAGGGACAGTTGTTGCAAATAATCCTTCACATATAATTAATAGAATTTTTTTTTTTTTTTTAGTATTTACAGATTATGCATACTTATTCAAATTCATTTGTTTGGAAATGTCACTTGTTATACATACATGTACTTGAAAGTTGTTACCACAAGGTGCATGAGGAAGAATCTAGTTCTCAGCAGTTTTATTTCCTCATGGAGTCATTTCTATCTTTCCTAAAGTGCCCAGTGGTCACTTTTTAAAAAACATTTATTTTATTTACTTATGCATTCAAGAGTTCTGGTGTAGGCCAGAGGTGCGGGGGTGCGGGGGCGGGTGAGAGGATTCACCAGAGACAGAGTGGGGAGCAGAACAGGCGGATCTACTGAAATACACTGCTGAGGGGAGTAGCAGGGGAGACAGGAGAGGTCTGCTGTGTCATGTGGGTTCAGTTCCTGGCTGGGGATCGAATTCAGACCACTGCTGTGGACTGTAACAGTGATAAGGATGAGACTTAACTCCTAGGCCACCAAGGCGGCCCCATTTTACAGTTTTTTAAGTGTTATGTACATGTTTTCAGAAATACATTACGAAGCAAAAGTCGTCTCTGGTAATGGTCTCCCCATATGACCACACAGAACCTGAAACAGGGCCTCCCTGGTGGCACAAGGGGTTAAGATGCAACCTATGAAGCAATCCATAGTCACTGCAGCACAAGTTCAATCCCTGGCCAGGGAGCTACCCATATGGCGCAGCAGATCTCTGTTATCTCGCCGGCTGCTCCCCTTAGCAGTGTATTTCCATAGATCTGACTGTTTTGTTCTCCACTCTGTCTCTAGTGAATCCTTTCACACCCCCATACCTCTGGCCTGTACCCCAGTTCTTGTATGCATAAATAAATAAATCTTAAAAAAACAAACCTGAAACATTGTATCAGCTATTTTCATAATAACACTAAATTGACTTTAAAATATATACACATTTAATTTTTTTAAGACTTAGATACTAAGGTATCTAGAAGGCTATTAATTCTAGGAACTCAATATAGAAGATTTGTTTAGCATGTGCTTCCTTAAAAAGGAAAAAAAGAAATAGTTATTAACTTTTTCAAGTGGGCGCTTGTAGAAAGTTCTCAAGGGGAGTGAAGGAACTAGGATTCCATCATCATTCTTTTTTTTTTTAAATTTTTTTTTTAAGATTTATTTATTTATTTATTTATTCATACAAGCACTGGGTACAGTCAGAAGCGCGGGAGGGTGAGAGAATTCACCAGAGTCAGAGCAGGATGCAGAACAGGCAGACGGACCGAAGTACACTGCTGAGGGGAGCAGCGGGCGGCAGGAGAGGTCTGCGCGCCATGTGGGACCCTCCTCTGGTGGCCGGGGAGCAGCCGGGGATCGAACCGGCACTGCAGAGGCTGCGGGCAGCTTCGCAACCCCGCGCTCAACCACTGCGCCACCGGGGAAGCCCTCCATCATCATTCTTGACTTTCCAATTCATTTTGTATTCTTAAGCATTTTTAGCATAACAAGATAGGGACTGGTGATTTTATTTACCACATAAATTTTCTCACTGTGCTGACTTTATGCTTTTTCTTTAGAGGACATTCAGTCCGCATGTAACAGAATAGTTGAGTTTGAGTAGTGGCCCTACTTCTTCTTTTATGTTCATTCCCCCTCCTTAGCAGAAAGTTTAAAGTCTTAGGGGGGGTATATAACCTTTTTCAGATAATTAGGGTACCCCTTGCTTTATGTTATAATCTTATGCAACTTTGTGTAAATCAGACTCTTTCCTTAACATGCTGGTTAAAAAATATCTTAACCTGTGAATTTTCAGTTTTCAGAGCAGAGAATTAGAATACAATAATGGAGATTTAATGTTACAGTTCTAATAAAAATAATTTTACTTTCTTTTGATAATTCATAGACGTGTATCTTATAGTGCTTTAACATTTTGAACCTATATTATGATTTTTTACTATAGTTGTAGGTATAGCGAATTAGGCCTAGTCCTTCACTATTCTGAGTTGCTTTAGAAATTTTTTCCTTCACAAAAAACTTGTTTACTCATTAAAAATATAGACTCTGCCCCCTACTTCATACCCCAAGTGTAATTTACTAGTTGTTGAAATTATGTACAAACAAAAATATATTTTTTAAAGAGATTTGGTCACCTTAGAATGTTTACTAATCTTAACTTGAAGTAGTGGTTTCTCATGTTTATCATAGTCCTCATTCATTCAACATTGTCGTGTTCCAGTTACTATACACATAACAGTCATGAAATTAAATAAATGAATAAGACAGTCTCTGCATTCCAGGCCCTCTTAGACTATGTCCAAGGGAGACAGTTAAACAGAATATAGTATTAAGCAGTATAGGTGTTGTGACAAAAACCCCAAGTAAAATTAGGTCACAAAGGAGAAAGTGGGTGAGTATACTAGAGGGATTGAGATGGAAGGAGGTCCATCATAGAGGCTACTTATTTAAAAAAGAAATAAATGGGAAAAGGGCCTCCCCGGTGGCACGGCGGTTGAGTGCTGGGTTGCGAAGCTGCCCGCAGCCTCTGCAGTGCCAGTTCGATCCCCGGCTGCTCCCCGGAGGGTCCCACATGGCGCGCAGACCTCTCCTGCCGCCCACTGCTCCCCTCAGCAGTTTACTTCGGTCTTTCTGCCTGCTCTGCTCCCCGCTCTGGCTCTGGTGAATTCTCTCACCCTCCCGCGCTTCTGACTGTACCCAGTGCTTGTATAAATAAATAAATCTTTAAAAAAAAAAAAAGAAAGAAGTGGGAAGGGATGTTTTTAGAAAAAGAGAGCAAGATAGAAAATAGTAAAAGAAGATGGCAATTTTGGGAGCCACAAATAGTTTGGTGTGACTGATGTTTAGATTATAAGATACCGGGGAGAGTTGAAATCGGGCTTGTCTCAGAGAGATAAGTATCATATTTAGGATTTGCACTTTTTTTTTAACAGGAGGGAGAGGATTCTTGAAGGGTTTTAAGAAGGGAGTGACATGAACACTCTGGGGGTAATACAGAAGATCAGGTAGATAAAAAGGGCTAGTTCAGACTAGAGATCTAGAGATGACTTAGTCTGAATTAAGCTGGTAGCAGAGGAAATACAGACAGGGAGAGTGGCTGGTTTTAAAGAGGTACATCTGGTAAGATTTGGTGACTGACTGTGTGGGAGTTGAGGAGGAGGAAAAGGGAGAAATTGAGTGTAATTTCCTGGCTTCTGTCTTAGGCTACAGTGTGCTGGATGATGCCATTGGCAAGGATGAGGATTATAGGAAGAAGGGTAACTTGGGAGGTGGGAGAGAGAAGACAACTTGGTTATTTTAGACATAATGAATTCAACAAAGTCCTGAGGGACATCCAAATGTATTTATTAATTTAGCCGTTAACTGTGTCCCGGTGTGAAATACAGAAGGGAAGTTGTGTTAGGGGTGTCAGCATGGGGATGGGTAGTCATCTATGTAAAGGAGATTATTCAGGCAGTGCTTTCAAACAACAAATTGTAAAAATTAACATTAGATCTATTATAGAAATTAAAGAATATCAGTGTATCTTATTAGGTTGTGTGAGCCCATTTTTAGAAGGTAGAAACATTTTAGTGACACATTTTCCCTAAGTAGTACCTCTAGTTATTGCTAGTTACTTTGTGCAGTTTCTCTCTTGCATTTTCTGATGAGACTATGCTTGTGTCAGTAGTTTCATCATAGTACCTTCAAAATGCTATCATTTCTTAGGGCCTCCTTGGTTGCCCAGAGGTTAAAGTCTCAGGGCTCTCAAGCTGCTGTGCCACTATGGCATGAGTTCAATCCTTGGCCAGGGAGCTAACCCACATATGGTACAGAAGACCTCTCCTGTTTCTCCGCTGCTCCCCTACACAGTAAGATCTGCCCACTCTGTCTCTGGTGAATCCTCTCAATCCCTGTACCTCTGGCCTACACCCCAGTTCTTGTATGTACAAATAAATAAAAATAAATCTTTTTTTAAAAAAAGTGCTATTAAGCCTCCCTGGTAGCACAGGGGTGAAAGACAGCAATATCAAGCTATCGCCAGCCACTGCAGCACCAGTTCAATCCCCCACCAGCCAGGAGCAACCCACATGGCGCAGCAGACTTCTGTCTCCACCGCTGCTCCCCTCAGCAGTGTATTTCAATAGATCTGCCTCTTTTGCTCCCCACTCTGTCTCTAGTGAATCCTTTCCTCCCCTGTACCTCTGGTCTGTACCCCAGTTCTTGTATGCCTAAATAAATATAGCTTAAAAAAAAAAGTGCTATCATGCCTAAATTCCAACAAGGGACATCAGTTTCTTTTTTTTTTTTTTAGAGGCATGTTTTATTTATTTATTTATTTGTTTGTTTGTTTTGTTTTTTGTTTATACATGCACTGGGTACAGTTAGAAGCGCGGGAGGGTGAGAGAATTCACCAGAGCCAGAGCGGGGAGCAGAGCAGGCAGAAGGACTGAAGTACACTGCTGAGGGGAGCAGCGGGCGGCAGGAGAGGTCTGCACGCCATGTGGGACCCTCCGGGGAGCAGCCGGGGATCGAACCGGCGCCGCAGAGGCTGCGGGCAGCTTTGCAACCCAGCGCTCAACCACTGCGCCACCGGGGAGGCCCGGACATCAGTTTCTATGACCAAGTCCTCCCTGCCTTGAATTGGCCAGTGGTATTTTAGTTTCATCAGGATAATTCTAGAATATGACTTAATCTTATACTTGAAGGAACACTTTATGTCATGAACTTTTGAAGTTCTGAAAGTTATGAAAATTCTGATGTAAAACAATAACAAGTGTGGTGTAAATACAGTAGCAAGAAGATCTTTCCTTTAAGATGAGGAAAGTTGTTGATTCATTTTTATGGTTGTAGCTCTGAACAGCCTTGGGTAGCTTGGAATATAAATACAATGGGGAACTAATCAAAGCACAAACATAGATTTGTAAAGATATTTATTTTATTCCTTTTGAGATAGATTAAAATAAATTTCTTAACCCCATGCTGTGAATATTAATTTTTTCATGATTTATATAGTTTGTTTTTCGATGGACACTTTTACAACAGGATTTATGAAGCTGGGTCGGAGAACAACACAGCAGTTGTGGCAGTAGAAACTCACACGATACACAAAATTGAAGAAGGGATTGGTAAGTTTTTCTGTGTTATTCCAGTACCTTTGACCTTAGCTTCCTTGGTTGAGATTTCTTGCTTTTTGTCCCTACCAAGTGTGTTCTACTAATGCTGCAGTCATCATTTAGAATGACTACTGACTAAGATGCTAGGGCTGTCAGTTAATTCTTTAATATCAGTTTGCTAGGGTTTCTGAAAGATTTTTCATCTCTAAAAACCATGCAAAGAAATTGGAACCTCAAGGTTGATTGTTGTTGTCAAGGAAGTTGCTGATGAGGACGAGGACTGATAGGTATTAACTGAAAGAAGTCACTGGAAAGATATTGAAAAGAAACTCTGAAATGAGATAAACTTGAATTTTAATCTTGCTTTATCTCTTTTTATTGATAGTTGTATGCCCTCAGGAAAGTCGGTTCACCTTCTGAGTCCTACTTATATGCATGTAATACAAAGGCAGCAGGCACTCCTTTGATAGATTCTTGTAAGACTAAATATGTAAAAGCATACAGCAGTGTCTGGTAGGAGCTTGCTAAGAGAGCTGTTATGCCAGACTTCTTCCAAAGGATCTCTGAACAATCTTAGTCTTAATGAAGCAGTTTATATAGCCCCTCAGAGGACTCTGAACACTAGAGATACTGAATTTAAGCCTTGGGGAAGATATTTCAATAAATAACTGGTATTTTTTTCCATTTTCAGATGCAAGCACTATAGAAGCAAATGAGGATATGGAAATTGCTTACCCCATAACTTGTGGGGAAAGCAAAGCCATTCTCCTCTGGAAGAAGTTTGTGTGTCCAGGAATTAATGTAAAATGTGTTAAGGTAATTGTCTTCTCTCTGCTAGGGCCTATTTGGGGACTCCTTGTTTTTAACAGGGTGTGGTTTCTGGGCCTCCTCTCTCTTTCACCACATCAATGTTTCCAATTTTGTGGCTATACTCTCATTGTGTCACAGCAGAAAAAAATAAAAACTTTGGAGTGAAATTGGCCCGGATTCAAGTCCCAACAGAATATAAATTCTGAGAACTGAGAACTTTTGTGTCTTGTTCATCAGTGTATCCCCAGCATGTAGAGTGATGCTTGGTGTATTTATCAATAAATCTTTGTTGAATGAATGAATGAATGGGGTCCCATCTTTATCTCTGACTAGTTGGGTCACCTTATGCAAGTTATTTAATATTTCAGAGCCTCATGTCAAAATACAAATAATCATTTACATACATTGTAAGATTGCTAGAATATAAGATGAGATACCTTATACTGGTGGAATTTATTGAAAATTATTACTGATAATAATAAATAATCTCACAATGAAGAAATAATTATTTATATTCTCTCCTTTGGGAGCCACAGCTGTACCCATGGATAGTTGTGTCATTGAAGTGGCATCACCCTAGAATCTGTCAGGATTATAGAATTTTGGGGCTCTTTAGTGCTTTTGGTTTCTACCATACTTATTCTTTCTGCCACAGCCTGAATCTTGACATAAGGGCTGGATAGATTACTTCAGTTTAAACAGGTAGTTGCACCTAATTGCCTGGCTAAGAGCATACATGGACTTTAGGTGCTAATCAATATACTAATCACTGATCCTCCTAATGTGTTCTGTAGGTTTTTACCAGAACAGGGTACTGTGTTCAGAGATGGGTCATCTTCTTTGGCACAATAGGGCAGGAGACTGTATCATATAAAACTGTGACAAGATGTTGGGTGGCTACTTTTTGTACATAACGAGTTACTGTTTTCTTTCTTTCTTGGCCTGCCTAAATTTACATTGCATTATTTTGGACTTTTCTTTTTACTTTAGTTCAATGATCAATTGATTAGCCCCAAGCATTTTGTTCATCTGGCTGGCAAGTCCACCCTAAAGGACTGGAAGAGAGCCATTCGTCTGGGTGGAATTATGCTCAGGTGAGCTCAAATAGTAAGCACCTTTCAACAGATTTTGGGATACTCAATCATGATAGGTTCCAGAGAATCTTTTTTTTCTTTTTTTTAATTTTAAGTTTTTATTCTGTCTGAAGGATTAGCTTGAGCAATCCATGCATGATTACCCTGGCAAGCATAGTGTAGGCTGACTGACAAAGCCTGGTAATCTGGTAAAGTAGAAGTGCGCTATGATAAGTAACACTTAGACAAGTGAATACAATCCTTGCCATCATTATGCCACAAAATAAATTTCAGTATTTGCAATATCCCTCATCCCTTCTTTGCAGGTTGGTTTGCTATTGTAATATTTTTCCCATCTGGTAAAGATTAACATTAGTTGGTATTCCTTGAGTACATACCTTTTTTTTTTTAATACAAGCACTGGGTACAGTCAGAAGCGCAGGAGGGTGAGATAATTCACCAGAGCCACAGCAGGGAACAGAATAGGCAGAGTGATGAAATACACTGTTGAGGGGAGCAGCGGGCGCAACAGGAGAGGTTTGTGCGCCATGTGGGACCCTCGCCGGGGATCGAATCAGCGCTGCAGAGGCTGCAGGCAGCTTCACAGCCCAGCACTCAACTGCTGCGCCACCAGGGGAGGCCCTAAAATTTATTTATTTATACAAGAACTGGAGTAAAGACCAGAAGTGTGGAGGGTGAGAGAATTGGCCAGAGATAGAGCGGGGAGCAGAACAGGCAGATGGACCAAAGACACTGCTGAGGGAAGCAGCAGGTGAGACAGGAGAGGTCTGCTGTGCCATGTGGGTTATCTCCCTGGCTGGCCAGAATCGAACCTGTGCTCCAGAGGCTGCAGACAGCTTCACAGTGCAGCGCTTAACCCACTGCACCACCGGGGAGGCCCTAGTACTTACCTGTTGATCGAAAATTTGAAAATTGGTCAAGAATTAAAACTTTTGGGCCCCCTGATGGCCTAGTGGTTAAAGTCTCAGTACTACCACTGCATTGGTTGGTCCAAGTGACCTGAGTTTGATCCCTGGCCAGGAAGCTAACGCATATGGCACAGCAAACCTCTCCTGTCTAGCCCACTGCTCCCCTCAACAGTGTATTTCAGTAGATCTGCCTGTTCTGTTTCCTATTCTGACTCTGGTGAATCCTCTTACCCCCTGCACCTCTGGCCTATACCCTAGTTCTATGTAAATAAAATAAATAAAAATCTTCTAATAAAATTATTCTTTCAAAAAAAAGAATTAAAGCTTTTTCTATAGACATATTCTTAAAATATTTTAAAAACATCTTACCCTTTGTCTTTAATTTATTTTAAGGAACCTGTCTTAAGAAAACTCTTTTGTGCCTGTGGAGATCAAACATAAAACTGTTCCTTGCAACATAATTTATTATGTTATAAATTGCTCTCTGCGTTAATATACAATCAAGGGCTATCTAAAGTGAATTACGACTTTTCTAAATATTCCTATGTATATACTCTGGGTGTTATGCAATCATTAAAATATTTCTGAAGGGTTTTTACCTAGAAAAAATGCTTGTAATGAAATGTGAAGGAAAAAATATATAAAGTTAATTGAGTAGTGTGATTTTAGCCATGTTAAAAATATACATATGTTAGTATAATTTAGTAGAAGAAAATATGCCAAAATGTTGATGTTATCTCTATGTAGTGGGATTTTTTTACAGGGTTGTTTTCTGTATTTTCCATGGAAAATGTTATTTTTTTTTTCTGCACATACTATTTTTCTAGCCAGAGACACATAATTAAAAAAAATTTGTTCCAGATGATTTGTTTGTAGAAATCAGTAGTTGAAATTGGGAATACATCTAACTTTCATTTTTTGTTGTTTTTGGCCTGTTTTACTTGCCCAGGAAAAACAAACACATGCCAACTTTTCCCAAATATGTAAAGGAACCAGAATGTCTAAAAGATCTTTACTAAAAGTCAAGTAACATTATAACATAGACTTTACTGTAATTACAATACTCCTTGGTTTGCTTATGGGCTATAATAACAATGTCTTGTGGATCCCATTATAAGGATATTTTATAGTGGAGGTGTAGTATAATCAACTTTGCTCAGAATTTATAGGAGAGTTGTTATCAGTTTTTTTTTCTTAAGGGAAAATTTGCTGACTTTTTTGTCTTCAAAAGTGGCAATAAATCTTGCTGCTCTAGGAGTACTAATACATCAGAATGTCATCTCTATAGTCTCACTCCCCTATAGCATTTCTGTTTTGCTTTTTTTTTTTTTAAAGATTTATTTATTTATGCATAGAAGAACTGGGTGTAGGCCAGAGGTGCTTCACCAGAGTCAGAGTGGAGAACAGAAGAACAGAACAGGTAGATCCACTGAAATACACTGCTAAGGGGAGCAGTGGGTGAGACAGGAGAGGTGTTCTGTGCCAAGTGGGTTAGCCCCTGTCTGGGGATTGAATTCAGGCCATGGAGATGACAGCGCTGAGACTTAACCCCCTATGCCACCAGGGAGGCCCCACCCCCTACAGCATTTCTCAGTTTTGCTGGACTGTGAGTTAGTCTTTCTCCCTTTAGGTTTGGTTTCAATGAGACTCTGTGGGGAAACTTATTTTTTTTGTCAGGGGTATATACCTAAAGCTCAGTGGTAACTGAAAAATGCTCATAATGAGTAGACTAGAGGTGAAAGAGGAGCATTTTTTTTTTTTTAAGATTTATTTATTCATGCATACAAGAACAGGGTACAGGCCAGATGCATGGGAGGGTAAGAGGATTCACCAGAGACAGACTGGGGAACAGAACAGGCAGACTGACTGAAATACACTGCTGAGGGGAGCAGTGGGCAAGACAGAAGAGGTCTGCTGCGCCATGTGGGATTCTTGCTGGCTGGCCGGGATCGAACCCATGCTGTAGAGTCTGTGGACAGCTTCACAGTGTGGCACTCAACCGCCTGCGCCACCAGGGGAGGCCCTAGAGAAGTATTTTTTTATTTTTATTTTTATATTTTTAGAGATTGATTGATTTATACATACAAGAGCTAGGGTACAGGTCAGAGATGCGGGGGGTGAGAGGATTTACCAGAGACAGAGTGGGGAACAGAACAGGCAGATTGACTGAAATACACTGCTGAGGGTAGCAGCGGGCGAGACAGGAGAGGTCTGCTGCGCCATGTGGGTTTCTTCCCAACTGGCTGGGATCAAACCCACGCTGCAGAGGCTGCGGACAGCTTCACAGTGTGGTGCTCAACTGCCTGCGCCACCAGGGAGGCCCAACCTAATGACTTTTAATGCTAGTAGGTTTCACTAATCTACAGAAAAGACTAAGCAATTTTTTCTCTATTTGTTCCTGAGGCTGGTTTTCTCTAGATGGAGTACAGTCTAAACTGCTACTTCTTGTCTCCCTTTGCATAGAAAAATGATGGACTCCGGACAGATTGATTTCTACCAGCATGACAAGGTTTGCTCTAATACCTGCAGAAGCACCAAATTTGATCTTCTGATCAGCAGTGCAAGAGCACCAGTGCCGGGACAACAGACAAGTGTGGTGCAGACACCCACTTCGGCTGATGGTAGGGGGTAGGAAACCACCTGACAACCCACTGTGTTTTTCAGTAGCACTTCCCCCTCACTTCTTATTTGTGTTTCTTAATTTCACTATTCATGAGCATTGATGTCCTGTAAGCTATGGTAATCTTTGATGGGGTTCTTCTATACTTTAGAAAGTGATCTGTGTTTTCTCCCAAATGATTCCTATTGACCAAACCTCCTTCCTGTTTCTTTCTTAAAATGCATGGTAAACATTAGAAGATAGTTCAGTAGTTATAGTGCTTATGCAGAGTCTCATATTAATGCCTCTTGGAATCTCTAGGCTGAAATTAGACTGTTTTGAAAATCATTTCTTCTCTTAGTGATCAAGGCAGGAATGTGGATTAAATGATGAATGGTTTTAGCCCTTGAACTGAGATGTATCAAAGACAAAGTGTTGCTGGCTGGGATAGGCTCTGGAGACTATGCTGTAAGGATCAAAGAGCTTTACTTGAAAGGGATCCAGATAACCAAGCTGAGCCTTCCTCACCAACGAGACAGAGTGGCCACACACTTACAGCAGTATTGCTGAGTTTGGGACTAAGGATCCTAGCCATGCAGGAAAGATAAAGCCACATGATATTATTATAATGGATTCAGTTAGTCCAGTTATATAGAATGTGTGTCAGTTGCTTCTGGAAGACGTCTAAATATGCCTTACAGAGTCGCAAGAAGGCTAAAGAAAATAAAGGGTTAGGGAAGTGCTGTGCTTTAAAAATGACTTCTTGAGGTTCATTTTGGTCAGCCCTAATATTCTGTGAGTAACTACTGGGTGAGTAGAAGCCAAATTTCTTGAAGCCTAAGTCCTTTTCAGGAAAATATAAAATATCTAGTAGTTTGAATTTTCCATTATGTGGCTCTTTCACATAATGAAAAGTAAAAAATAATGTGAATTATTTACATCTCTTTTATTTGGCCCAAACTCCTGTACTTGATCATCTGTATTGATATTTCTTTTTTTATTTGATTATTGATATCTTCCTGTATGTAGCACCCAGAGTTATCTGTATTTCTGTCTTTATTGGTTTGATTTTTCTCAATTCTTTAATAATCCCAATGTACAACTGATAGGAAAGGCTTTTTTCTTCTGTGAATCTGCTGTCCATGGATCTCTTCTAAGCTGATTTTTTTTTTTTTTAAATCTCATTTTTCTTACATAGGCTGACAAATAAGCTACAACTTCAGATATCCTAGATGCTGAATATCAAACATACTGGTAGTAGAGCTCTTGGCTAAGCACCATACTTTTCTCTTAAATTACTTCAGATCAGACAGCCTGGCAATCATGTACATCTTCAGTCTCTCAAAATCATACCCACTCTGGAAGCAGATTGATCTTTTATAATTTTATAAATTATTTCTCACTTTCTGTTTGGAGGAAGATGAAAGCATTGTCTTTTGAAAGGCAAGTTTTCTTTAGAAAATCCAATATTTATCTTGGCCTACCTTGGATTCTAGTGTTTAATATATGAACCTGAAGGCAAAAGGCTAGATTGCTAAAATAACAGGGTTTCTTTGGCAGTGAGTATGTGATAGAGAATAGCTATGACTTCTTCATAAAACCATTGGTCTGACTTTAATGGGCTGATTTCAGGTAGCATCACACAGATTGCCATCTCTGAAGAGAGCATGGAAGAGGCAGGGCTGGAATGGAACTCAGCTCTCACTGCTGCTGTCACCATGGCCACAGAGGAGGGTGTAAAGAAAGACTCAGAGGAAATTTCAGGTATTTTTCTGTGGGTTTCAGATATCTTGCAGGGGTTTGTGACTCTTATCACCATTATGATTAGGGACATAGAAGTCCCCTTAATTATGTTTGCTGGCTGTTCTTAGGCTTAGTAATTACTAATTATGGATGTGCACATCTTATTTTAATCCGCGGGCAATCCTTCAAAGTCACATTTTACATGTGAAGAAATTGAGATTTAGAAAGGTTCAGCATCTCACCATAAACCTGTAATATAACAAGTGTCAGAGCTGAATCAGCTGTTTGATTCTATAGTCCATGCTTTTCATCTGTTAAACTGCCTTCAACTTCAGCACATTTCTGAGATAAACTAAACTGCAAGATGTAGAAGAAAAAGTTAGGTAGCAAGTGGTGTAGAGGATGGTGATTAATGTTGAAAGAACAGAGAGGCTTCATGTCATCCTTCATTCATTAATTTATATAAAAAATATTTATTGCTGCCTGTTTTTAGTTGTCAGGGTTCCTAGATGCTAAATAGACAGATGAAAAGCCTCCGCCCTCAAGGAATTTATAACACCACCTGTTCAATTGTTGGTTTTAAGTATAGAACTGGGGAGGGAGGGGGCTGTATATTTAATGTATTTATTATTTAACTTTTAAAATAGTTATATTATTAAAAAATATTGAATATTAAATTTTAAGTTAAATTATTTAAAGAGTATTTAATATCTTTATTAGAGGAATATTCTTGTTCCTTATAACCAAAGCCATGACAAGTTGAGGTCATGCTAAAACAACCAAGACTCTATGCTTCTGAAGAAGCCATAGCATTATGTACCAACTGTAGCAGTCAGTTTGTGTTCCAAGAACTTCTTCCCTTTTCCTTGAAATGACCCAGTATGAAATCCTTTTGAAATGAAATTATTTTGAATTTAACACATTGTACAGATGTGCCTCAGTATATATAACATCCCTAGTTTTTTGTCTTATTCCTTTTGTGCCAGAGGACACGTTGATGTTCTGGAAGGGAATAGCTGATGTAGGACTGATGGAAGAGGTTGTCTGCAATATACAGAAGGAAATAGAGGAGCTGCTCAGGGGGGTTCAGCAGCGGCTCATTCAGGCTCCCTTCCAGGTCACAGGTAAGTACACAAACCCTAACAGTAACCATCATTTATTAAACACTAACAATTATTGCCAGATCCTGTTAGCTTCATGAAAACACTGTAGTATAGGTATTATTATTTCTATTGTACAGTTTAGGAAATGTAGGCTTATAAGAGTTAAGTCCAAAATTCATAACTGGATTTTGAACTCAGGCCTGGCCATACTTTCTTTTCCACAGCTAATTTTTGCTTTATGCCCAAGAATGCTGTGTGTGTGTGTGTGTGTGTGTGTGTGTGTGTGTGTGTGTGTGTGTGTGTGAATAAAACCTGAAAATTGGAGAAGTACATGTACACCTGGGTTTGGAAAACTCTTTTTTTAAGATCTACTCTATTAGGAAAGCTTCTAGAACCATTGTTTGTTGTCTTCACTTATAGCTGTTTCTGAATACTTATGGGGTGCTTGCTTCTATGCAGAAGGTAAAAGGATGTTCTAATCATCTGATACAAATGGGGTTATGATCAAATTTCATAACCTAATGTTCAGTGAGTTCTTCTTAGAACTTATACATTATGTGAATATACTTAAAGTGTACAACAAAATCATTTTACATGCATGGAGTTTAAAAAAGGCAAATTATATAGAAAGCAGGGGTGACTGTTTTGGTATTGGTCAAGGAGTGTCTCTCTAAGGAGGTCATTTAACAAGAGACCTAAATGGAAGAAGCTATCCATGTGATGTACTGAGAAGGAACATTCCAGACTGAGGGAATAAAGATCTTGAAGGGGCAATGTACCTGTTGAGTTCAAAGAATTACAGAAGCACTCATATGACTACAGTGAAAGGTATAAGGAGAATGATAGGTGATCAGGTTGGAGAGGAAAAGAAGGGACAGTTTGGATAAGCGTTGGTCAGAACTTTGGATTTTATTTTATGGTGGTAGTAAGCCATCTTAGTGATTTCGAGCAGGGAAGTAAAGTGATAAGAATTATTTAAATTTTTTTTAAAAGAATGTGTAGAGAGTAGACTCTATGGGGCAAAAGTGGAAATAAGAAAACCTTTTGGGAGACTCTTGAAGGAATTAGTCCAGACAAGAGACGGTGGTTACGTGGATTCAAGCGGGTTATGCAGAACCGGGAAGAAGTGATTTTAAAAATTTTTAAATGCGGGTCTTCCTGGTGGCGCAAGGGGTTAAGATGCAACCTATGAAGCAATCCACAGCCACTGCAGCACGAGTTCGATCCCCAGCCAGGGAACAACCCACATGGCACAGCAGACCTCTCCTGACTCGCCCGCTGCTCCCCTGGGCAGTGTATTTCAGTGGATCTGCCTGTTCTGTTCCTCACTCTGTCTCTGGTGGATCCTCCCACCCCCCACGCCTCTGGCCTGTACCCCAGTTCTTGTATGAATAGATAAATAAATCTTTTAAAAAAAAATTTTTTTTAAATGTGGGCTGGGCCCTCTCTGGTGGTGTAGGGGTTAAAGTCTCAGTGCTATCAAGCTTTCTCAGCATGAGTTTGATCCCTACCAGGGAGCTACCCACATGGCACAGCAGACTTCTCCTGTCTCACCTGGTGCTTTCCTCAGCAGTGTATTTCAGTCAATCCACCTGTTCTGTTCCCTACTCTGTCTCTGGTGAATTCTCTCGCCTCCCTGCACTTCTGGCCTATATCCCAGTTCTTGTATGCATAAATAAATAAAATAAATCTTAAAAACATTTTGTTTTAAATACAATGAGAATAGTCCTATCATTTCTAGGTTTATTAGCAGCATAACAGGTAGCTGGTAAATATTTGTTTTGATTTGACAGGCATGTGTTTTGTTTTAAATAGATGCCGCTGTTCTCAACAATGTAGCACATACATTTGGCCTAATGGACACAATCAAGAAGGTTTTGGACAACAGAAGGAGCCAAGTAGAGCAGGGAGAAGAGCAATTTCTCTATACTCTAACAGGTGTGTGTGCATAACTTCTCTCTCTTCTTAGGTGATATCATACCAAAACCCTTGAGTCTTTTCATTTCTTTGTTGATTTCTGTTAGAACTGTCTATTTCTTCCTTTTTTTCAATTCACGTAGAATCAGATTTTGCTTTTTTTTTTTTTTGGTATCCAGATCCAGGTGAGGTAGAGTAGTGGGAAGCAGAGGAGAAACAAAGGAAAACAGAAAGAAGCCAATAGCAGGGCCCTTTATCCCTTTCACATTACTGATACTGCATCTTTTGATAGATATAAATTTAGCACTTTATCCATTGTTTGCAGTAATAAAGAATTATGATATACACGGATAATTTAACTCTTTTTATCAAGCACTTACTTTTGTGCCATTGTCGAAACTTTCCGAAATATGATATTGAATAAGACAGTCCCAGTCTTTTCAGAGGTTTCAAGGAACTCAAGGGAAAGCAGACAGAAATAAGTGCAAAGGGCCTCCCTGGTGGTGCAAGGGGTAGAGATGCAGGACTATGAAGCTATCCTTAGCCACTGTGGCATGAGTTTGATCCCTGGCCACGGAGGTGACCCACATGGTGCAGTGAGCCTCTCCTGTCTTGCCTACTGCTCTCCTCAGCAGTGCATTTCAGTGGATCTGCCTGTTCTGCTCCTACTCTATCTGGTGAATCCTCTTACCCCACACATTTCAGGCCTGCACCCCAGCTCTTATATGCATAAATAAATAAATCTTAAAAAAAAGAGAGAGAAGCTGTAGAGGAGGTAAGGCCAATGAAAGATATAAATCAAAGGTGGTAAGTGGGCCTCCCCTGGAGCGCAGGCGGTTGAACGCTGCGCTGTGAAACTGTCCGCAGCCTCTGCAGTGCCGGTTCAATCCCAGCCGACCAGCGAGGGTCCCACATGGCGTGGCAGACCTCTCCTGTTGCGCCCGCTGCTCCCCTCAGCAGTGTATTTCATCAGTCTGCCTGTTCTGTTCCCCACTCTGTCTCTGGTGAATCCTTTCACCCTCCCGCGCATCTGGCCTGTACCCCAGTTCTTGAATAAATAATTAAATCTTTAAAAAAAGAAAAAAGGTGGTGAGTGTCAGCTTTTGAGTGATATGAGAAATATTATAGTCAGTCATGAAGCCAAGAAGTAAGAACAATTTAGGTTGTTTTTAACTTATTTTTATATCAAATTTATATTTTAAAATTTAGATACCTGCGTATTCTTAGTAATGGCCCTTTTTTATTTGTTCCTCTTGAGAATGTTGGGATAGATCCCTGTAAAGTGGATGTATTAGAACTCTCATTTTTGTAATTCTTAGGGATTTCCCCTATAACTTTCTGTAGACTTCTCTGGTTGCTGATGGCACATTAGCAAGGGCCATTTGGGTCACCAGCAAGGTAATCCTCTTTGTAGGACCGTTTGAGAATCACTGCTTTTCAGAGTGCCCACTATAACTTCATTGTAGGTTCATGACAGTTCCAGGGAGATTGTGCAGCTATTATTTTTATCTGTCGACCCGGGCAGGGCATATAATGTTTCTAGACCAACTGGAGACTTTTGGTGATAGAGTGTGAGTCACTTTTGGTGACAGAATACCACAGAGGCTTTTAAAACGTTGAACGTAGTAGAATCACAACCTGAAAAAGGCACCTGTGTTTTTGCCATGGCTATTATCTCAGAAAGAAATGTAATTGCTGGAGGGATTTTAAAAATCATCTAGTCTATGTTATTCATTTAGAAACAACTAAGTGACTTGCCTGAGGCTACATAGTAGCAAAACTAGGACAAGACCCTAAGTCTGCTGATTCCCAGTTTACTCTTCCCAGTATTATATTTTCTTCCACACAAAGTCTGTTTTTTTTCCATAGATTTAGAACGCCAGTTAGAAGAGCAGAAGAAGCAAGCTCAGGATCACAGGCTGAAATCACAGACAGTTCAAAATGTGGTACTGATGCCTGTGAGCACTCCTAAACCTCCAAAGAGGCCCCGGCTCCAGCGGCCAGCCTCCACCACCGTCCTGAGTCCTTCTCCTCCTGTCCAGCAGCCTCAGTTCACGGTCATCTCACCCATCACCATCACCCCGGTGGGTCAATCATTTTCCATGGGCAATATTCCAGTGGCCACCCTCAGCCAGGGCTCCAGTCCTGTGACTGTCCACACACTGCCTTCTGGGCCTCAGCTCTTCCGCTATGCCACAGTGGTCTCCTCTGCCAAGAGCAGTTCACCAGACACAGTGACCATTCACCCTTCGTCTAGCCTGGCCCTGCTAAGCTCCCCTGCTGTGCCGGATGGGAGTACCCTGGGCAACATGACCACCATGGTAAGCCCTATGGAGTTGGTGACCATGGAGTCTGGCCTGACCTCAGCAATCCAGGCTGTTGAAAGCACCTCAGAGGACGGGCAGACCATCATTGAGATTGATCCAGCCCCAGACCCAGAGGCTGAGGATACTGAGGGCAAAGCCGTCATTTTGGAGACAGAGCTGAGGACTGAGGAGAAAGTGGTGGCTGAGATGGAAGAACACCAGCATCAAGTCCACAATGTGGAGATTGTGGTCTTAGAGGATTAACTGGGGATCTTGGGGCCAGGAGATATGTTTTGGTTTGGAATTTTAATTATTTGTTTATTTTTATCATTGTCCTGCTCATTTCCATATAGGGTCCCCCCCCTTTTTTTAAAAAAAAAAAAAGAAGCAAAATCTCATTGTTGTAACTGAAATGTTGGGTCTCTCCCACCCCATCATTGAAAAATGGACAAAAACAAGCTGCCCTACCGGAAGTTGAGAGTAGGTCACTCAATGTCTTAACCCTTTTACACCAAGAAAGTTATTTCTTTTAGGGGAGGCATTAAGATAACCAGAAATCCCATCCAGAAAGCTGTTTTCAGACTAGTCTGTGTGCGCATGTTGTTTTATTCTTGTAAAGATGCATTGACCAAACTCTGGAACACATCTGACACTGGAAGGCAACCCATTCACATGTGGATGCAGAAGGATACTTTATTTTGTATCCTGGAAAGGGCCCTCAGAGGCCAGTACAAAACTCTGAAACAAAAGGAAATTGAACTCTGCTTGGAGGGGAAGGTGGCATACCAGCTTAAAAAGGGAAGTGCTTTGACCAGGATGGGGCAGGAAATTATCTTCCAGAAGTGCAACTGATGCCTCTTAAGATCTCTGAGGGATGTTACCCTGGGTGCCAGGAGAGGCCAGTGATAAGTGGAAGGGTGCATCTCCACAGAGCAAGTGGCACCAGAAACCAGTGGCTTTATAGAAGCAGACATCCAGGAGGTCACAGCTATGCTTTGGGATTTGAGATGGTAACCCAACTTGTCCTCCGCTTTGTCAAAGCACTTACTCTCCTAAACTAGGATCAGTCCATTCATTTGCAAACTGTTACGTGGTATAAATTGCTCTGGTTCTTGGACTGTGGCTGTCGTGGGGGTGGGGCTCCAAGGCCATCATCTGTGTTGCATGACTCTAGGAGCCGTGGAGTTCCTCATCCAGATCAGCTGCCTTTTTTGGTGGGGCCCTTTTTTGGCTTTGGAACCAAAAGCAGCCACTCATTTGGTGCTTCCTCTTGTTCATCCTCCTCCCCTCAACTGTTAATGGCATCTGTCTTCTGGATCCCACGCTCTTCAGCTTTCTGGCTGATTTGGAGAACAGTGACAGGTGCCTGCCTGCCTTCATCCCCTTTTAGATTCATTTATACCACAGATGTTTCCGTGAAATATTGAGCTCATAAAAAAGCCTTAGGCTTGGCAGGAAGACTCAACACCCCCAGCCTATCCTGAGGCACCGAGTAGATGTCTCCTCCTGAGTGAGCTGGACTCCCTGGGAAAGAAGCATTGTCTGGAACATTATATTATAGGAAATGTACCAGGAATGTTAATAATAATGTCTTTGGGGGGGAGGGGACTTTCTTTTATTTCTTTTTTTTTTCAAATATTGTTTGTATATTTAGAGCTGGGCCATTTTTCATGCTGTGATTCCCTCTCTGACCATTTTCAGTGCTTGGGGGAAGAGTGGATCTGTTTTGTTGGTTTTTTTTTTTTTTTTCTTTGATTGTATTGTTTATTGCACTAGTAAAAATGTAGGGAAACTTAAAGGATAATTAGGTCCAAAAAAAAAAAAAAAAGAAAAAAAAAACCTTAGAAGTGGGAGGTCTTTTTTCTTTTTCTTTTTTTTAATTAAAAGCAAAACTTTGATCTGTAGCTTCCCCCTTTTTTTTTTTTTTCAAAGGCACCCACCTGAAGCCATATTTCTTCCAACAGGTGTTGGAAAGCCTCTTGTCAAGCAAGTGGAACCCATGCTGCCATCCCTGGATGGCTGTGTATCGCTAGAGGAGCCCTCTGACTTGGGAGGGATAATCTGGAAAACTTTAGAGTGACATTTCTGAATCCCACACAGTTGTGGTTTTCAGCCTTGAAAGATTTCTGGGTTGTTTGTTTGTTTCCCTTTTCAAAATATCTGATGTGGCAATCATCTTAGAACAAACCTTTGGCCCTTTATATATCTCTAGTAAGGAAGGTGGCTTTTATTTCTTGCTTTCTTTAGGTTTTCTGTTGGTACATTAACAGAGAAAATTTTATCTAAGCCTAAAACTACTACTTAAACGTAGAAAGGCATGTGTCATCTCAACTGTGGTTTTTAGGGATACTTCTAAAAGTGACTCTTTTCCAGAGACGAAAGGCTCAATTCAGGACAGGAGAGCCCTAGAGAACACCTTCAGGCTAGCTCAGGTTCCTTTCTTTCCTCCGTCAGAGCTGTTGCTAGTGTTTTCAAGTAGCATGAGCATCATGCTTCCAAAACCAAGAGATGTTCTTCTAAAGGCTGAGTCTGTTTACTCTCACTATTTGATTATTCTGGTTGGTTAAAATACATGAGCTTTGTTTTCCTGGTCTTCCAATAGCCTGTCATTATTGCTAGATACTACGGCACATGTTGTTCTATGTGGGTTCCCTTACAGCGCTGGTTTAGAAGAACTCAGATGGGGCAAAACCTATGCAAGCCATTGGATATATACATGAGGTTGCAATGAATCGTTCCTCAGACTGGCTTAGCAATAGCCATATGCCTTTCTGTTCATTAATTTAATAAACATTTATTAGTATCCTCTATGTGCCAGGCTTTATGCTAGGCACGGGCAGTATAGAGACAACACAGCCCCTGCTCTCAAGGAATTCATACTGTAGAGTTTGTCTCGAGTTAAGAACTATATTTCAATATAATTGGTCTCAGTTGTAATCCTATATATTTTCCCATTCATTGAAAATCATTATCCCAAGAATTAGTCCATAGGTTTCAGCACACTACCAAAGGCACAAAGAGGTTTAGCCCTTCTCTGGTGAGATACTGGAAGGTGTCATCATATTGGGGTAAGTGCAGTGATAGTACTATTGTCTGGGAGTTGAGAGAACAAAAGGATGAAGCAGTTAACCCAGGCTGGGAGCAAATGGTCAGCAAATACGAGAGTACTTCCTGGAGTGCTTCTGCTTGAGTGGAGAAAGGCATGTGCCATCAGCACTTAAGCTGATGTTGGAGACCATTTTTTTGGTATTCCATTTTTAAGTAATTGGGCTTGTTGATATCAGAAGGAAAAGATTCTCAGTCTCCCACTGCTTCTGCCCCAGAGCTAGGCAGAGAACAGTACTGGCAATCTCCCCTGAGAGTATCACAGTAAAAAACACAAGTCACTTTCCAAATTTCCGTTAGATGAATACAGTGCAGGAGTGGAGTTTAACTGGTGGAAGATAGATGCTCCAAAGCTTCTTGACATGTGGTTTCCTCAAAGGCCTCAAACCACTGTACAACTCCTTGCCCATGTCCTTACCCCCACCCTTTTTACTCCCCCTTTTTAGTTTCCAGATTCCTTCTCTGCCCACCCCCAAACAAAACAAAACTCCCAGTCATTCTAAATTAAAAAATGGACAATAGACTATTCAGTCACTTCATGTGAAGTTTCTTTCACACCTCTATCCACCTTAGGGAAAGAGGACCGATGATAATCCAAATACCTTGGAAATTAATATTCAGTCAGGTAGTCTGATACCATTCAGTAGTGGTATTTTATGTCCCTTTTCCTGAAAGGCACTAAAGGTAAGTCTATATGATGGGAATTATTAGTTTTGATAACATTTGATTATAAAGAAAGTAAAATCAAGCAGAGATAGTAGAATTACTAGTTCGTTGAGTTATGACAGGTCCAGGTTTTAGGACTATAAAGAAGGTAGAAAGGATAAAGGAAAGACTGGATTCTGAAAATAGACTTAAAGTTGTGATTCATTCTGGGCAACACTCCTAAGGAGTTGGTCCCCTGAGACAAAAAGATACTTGGTTAGCTCCTGCATTTTCAGATAACCTATTAACAGTTGATCACTGATCCCTCACACCTAGGTTAACTCCTCCCTGGGAAATCCTTGCATTCTGTAATGTATCATAATAACAAGAGGTGGTTACATGAGACAAGGGATCGGTCCTGCTAGATTTGGATTCTTTGCTTCTGGAATTTCTTCTTAGGACATTTTCTTCTTGGGACATTTTCTTAGTCCTGAGCTATGTAATGACTTCTTTAGAAAGTTCTACCCTCTTCAAAATTCCTATCCATATTTCTACTTCTCTAGCCCTTGCTAGAGAAATAAGATTTAGTTCCCAAAGACTACCCACTTAGTAACTCTACTTTCTGCCCTAACAGTAACTTTAAGCTCTTTAATCATCTCTTGTCAAGGTACCCCAACACCCAAACCTTAGCATACACTAGAGACTGAATTGAAGCACATATGGGATATGTTTAGGCCGTGACTATATGTAAGCTCCACAAACACATGGAGTCTAAAATCTAGTTTGTTTTTTTTAAAGATTTATTATGCATAGAAGAACTGGGGTGTAGGCCAGAGGTTTGTGTGTGTGGTGGTGGTGAGAGGATTCACCAGAGACAGAGTAGGGGCCAGAAGAGGCAGATCTACCGAAACACACTAATGAGGGGAGCAGCGGGCAAGATAGAAGAGATCTGCCATGAGGGTCAGCTCCCTGGCCAGCAAGTGAATTCATGCGGCAGTAGCTGGCAATAGCTTGATAGTGCTGAGACTTTAATCCCTGCACCCATCAGGGAGGCCCCTAAAATCTAGCTTTTGTACCCAGTTGATTCTCTACCTGTGGTCAGTGGTGTAGGCTAAGACATTCCTGTTTCCTGGATAAATTATTTCAGCCTGATGTGATTCCTACAACTACCTGAAATTTCTTTTAGTCTTAGGTGGCTTCTTAACCTAAGGACTTCTGATGCCCACTCAACCTTACAGGATACACGTGCTTTGAAATTGCTCCGGGTTCTCCTACATCTTTGGTTTCCAATTCAGTATCTTTACCAATAGTTATGGCTTGGAATATGGTATATATATGGTTTCATTTTTCGAGTTTGAGAACAAGAATGAACAATAGTATTGGATCACATATAAAGGTAAATGTTAAGCTGGGTTAAGACCCAGAAGGAGGGCCTCCCCTGGTGGCGCAGCGGTTGAGTGCTGGGCTGCGAGGCTGCCTCTGCAGTGCCAGTTCATTCCCCGGCCCGCAGGTGAGGGTCCCACAAAAAAAACAAAACAAAACAAAAAAAAAACCCAGAGGGAAAGACAGTCCTTGTCATTGGCCTTTGTCAGAGCTTCTCTAAGGAATGCATATACAGAA